CTGAGCATCTTTAGAGAATTCACTTCATTTAGAAAATATATTGTTTCTCCCAATTGTCAGAAGCACATGGTGTCCTATGAGGGCTTTGTAAACTGGTTTTATAGGCAGGCTGTGCCTCCAAATAGAATTTTGTGCAAGGATCCTAAAATTCCTTTGGCTCATCCCTACTCCACCCCCCCTTTAAAAAAAAGGCCTGATGAAAAGCTACAAAGGCCAGAGGGCCAAATATTCTCTTTCCTCTATAAATAAGTTACACACTTAAACTTGAGGGAACAAGTTGGGTTCCTAAATCTTAGGGAGGTCTGTTCCATTTATTCTGATGTCCCTTTTGTAGAGAAGTTAGTGTTGAAGTATGACATGTTTCACTAACAACTGTTGAGGGAAATTCCCTGGACAGGTGCATGTCTTCATGTTGGAAATAAAGGGTTTGGTTTGTGTTGATTGATTGTTTTTCCCAAATATGGAAATATGCTATATACAAGGAATAGGGTGTAGGGAGCCATGCTACATGGAATCCTCCTTTTCCTTATATTGACTAATTTTTGAATCTGTTCAAAATGAAATTTACCATTCCTTTGATCCTCTTAAAGGCAGTGGACTGAATTGCCCTCATTGCCCAAATAGGTAATGGGCCAAGGTAGCCTGCAGTTCCTGTAGAGCAGTGATTCTCAAAGTGTGGTGTCTGATCAGTAGCAACAACATCACTTGGAAAAGAAATGCTAATTCTTGGTTCTCACTTAGACTAACTGGATCAGAAACATGGGGGTTGGGGCCCAGCAATCCATATGATTCACATGCCCACTACAGTTTAAGGGCTTGCTAAAGCACAGATTGCCGGACCCTGTCCTCAGGGTTTCTGTTTCAGAAGGACTTGGGTGGGGCTTGATAATTGTATACCCAAACAATTACCAGTTGTGTTGATACTGCTGGTCCAGGGACCACAGTTTGAGAACCACTGCTCCAGAGCAAACCTGCCTAATAGAGCTAATTGGTACCTAACCAACTCATAGTGATCCTATAGGACAGATTAGAACTGCCCCATAGGGCTTTCAAGGCTGTAAATCTTTACGGAAGCAGACTGCCTCATCTTTCTCCTGTGGAGCGACTGGTGGGTTCAAACTGCCGACCTTTTGGTTAGCAGCCAAATGCTTTAACCACTATGCCACCCGAGCTCCTAATCGGCACCTAAGATGTTCATTTAAACATATTTTTGACATGGTGACCTACTACTGATCACTAATCGAAAATGTTGAAAGAAATACAACTTAGAACTCTTAAAAACTGGAACCATCCATAGTCTCATCCCAATAGTCTTACTTCGACATATGATTGACTGTATGAAGGGAATTCATTTGAATTTTTCATATAGCTCTATTAAAAAGTGGTCCACTTAAAGTAGCAAAGACAAAAGGCAGTTTAGGGAAAGGGGTATAGATTGCCCCATTGGTTATCCAGGGTGGGAAAAGGACTATTGTACATAATACATAATATCAGTTCTGGCTGGAATTACAAGTTTATGGGGATCATTTTGATGTTGAATATTCCCCAAAGCATTCTGACAAGTCTGATGCACTCAGCTCTTTACCTAGGGTAATAAGACCCTTACTGACTGAAAAACTGGCATAAATGAGCTTAAGAAGTCCATTGTATACAGTCCTAGTGTTTGACTTGGTAAAATTACATTTAAGGATATCATTTCATGAGTCAAATCGTATCTGCTGACACTGAAGTGTTTTGAGATGTTGTTCTTTAGTTTAAGTATGTAACAAAGTAATATTCAAAGGGGATGTGTGTGGGTGGGGCTGGGACCGGGTGGCTTTATATTGATAATGAAATATTCCAGAGCAAAACACATTGTCCTAATGAAGTTGTTGCAGCTCTCTTTGTTTTCTTGTGAGGCTGGAGTTGGCCTGTGGGTCACTTGTGCAAAAGTGGATTAATTTCAAATAGGAATCATACTGCTTTTGTAAAACAAAGAACATCAACCACCTTGTCTGAAATGTCTATTGTAAGGCGCTCTTGGTAAAGAACAACCCACAATATCCTGATCTTGATTGGAAAGCATTGTAGGTCATTAGGGAAAACTGATGATGCTGATTGTTGTTCCAGCTGTGTTGGCAATTAAAGATGACCTTGTTACTAACTGAAAGTCGCTGTCAACCTTAGCAAACAAACCAGCTAACACCGTTACAGCACTGGTTAAGTAGACTTTTTTTTTTTTTTTTTTTTTTTCCCACTGGAACTGGCTGGCGTTCAGCTGAGGAAGGCTAGGATACAAACTTTAATGACCAAGAGCCAGACTAGCTCAAGCTAGAAGTTCAGCAACAAATACCTCCTTGTGCTATTTGAATGCTAAGGTATTAGTTGCAAAAGGCTTACGCCTTCGCTACTCTAGTGAGGGGAATGAGCCTGATGACACTATTACTGTTTACCTGTCAAACCAGGGTGGACATTTAGAGGGATGCAAGTACAGTATGTCTCATTAAGCAGTCTCTGTTGCTGATTATATGAAGATAAAATTGTTGTATATTGCTGATCTGTATGTTATGTACATTTTCACAGTGATTGAATCATTGTAAAAAGAAAAAAGACAAAAAACAATCGCCACTCTGTCTATTTTATGAAGATTATAAAACAGCTTTATTAAATTATTACAGTTATGTTTTAAATGGTGTTATCTGCCACATTGTTTCCTTTTACCTGGTGGTTCTCTGTTTCCCCCTTAAATGTGTTTTCTCTGCTTCAAAAATTTAATGCATTTTAATATTAAAGGCTATTATG